GCCACCCAGGCGCCCCTGTCTCCAGATAGTTTTAATTTGGAACTCCCGTAACAGGACATAAAGAGGGTTTTTCCACTAAGAAACAGACGAGAGGGGTGCCTGGCTGGCTCAGTTGCAAGAGTGTGTGACTTTTGATCTCGACGTCATGAGTTTGAGCACTATGTTGGATGTAAAGGTTACTAAAAAAAGTGAATAAACTCAAAAAAAAAAAAAAGGGAAACAGACAAAGACAAGAAGCTAGAAATTAACCACCACTTGCTACTTCCGTCTATCACGTTTTGGTAGTTATACAGTCTTTGTAAGGATTATAAAAGACTTAAACTACTGAAATGTCCATCAACTAAGAACTGATTTAATATGCAATGCATTTATCAATATTAAAGAGAATGAGGCAGACAGATCCATATGCACTGATGTGGAATAATCTCCAAATACTGGGCAGGAAGAAAATTGTGGTCCACGTATTCTTTTTTGGCAAACGTATTGCTTCCTATATTCTTTTTTTTTTTTTTAAGGTAGAGTAGTTACATTTTTAATTTTTTTTTAAAGATTTTATTTATTTATCTGACAGAGAGAGAGAGACAGACAGTGAGAGAGGGAACACAAACAGGGGGAGTGGAGGAGGGAGAAGCGGCTTCCCGCCGAGCAGGGAGCCTGATGAGGGTCTCGATACCAGGACCCCGGGATCATGACCTGAGCTGAAGGCAGACGCTTAATGACTGAGCCACCCAGGCGCCCCTGCTTCCTGTATTCTTGGTCTCAAATTGTGTTAAGTACTTATTTTCTCATTCAATTCTAGCAAAAAGCAAACGGAGACCTGTCTATGCTCTGCAAGTGCAAGCTTTTGTGAGGAGAAATTTTAGATAAAATTAAGGGAATTGTTCACGCAGATGCAAAACGGGACCAGAGTTCTGTAGAGTAGAGCCACTTAAGGAGAAACTTGTCAGGTTAAGGTGAAGACAGGAAGCATTCACAAAAGTACAAGTTTCAGCTGCTTACAAATGTAACCGTTAGGGCATCTTGTGACAGTATTTGTGAAGTCCCTGTGTGAGGTTTCTGGACTTAAATGGTATAAACTTTTCTTCAATGATGTTACACTTATTCTTAAAATACCCCGTGCTAATTTGTTGCTATGGTTAGCCAGATTCCCACTGTCACCTGTGGCCCTCTTCTGTGGATATAAAGGTATGGGTTCTTCCGTTTGGCAGAAAGCCCGAAAAATGTCCTTTTTTTTTTTTTTTAACTTTTGGGCTAAAGGAAATTTAAGAGATTGGTGACCAATCAATAACTCGTTTTAAAACTACCTGCAAGGGGCGCCTGGGTGGCTCAGTTGGTTAAGCGACTGCCTTCGGCTCAGGTCATGATTCTGGAGTCCTAGGATCGAGTCCCGCATCGGGCTCCCCGCTCGGCGGGGAGTCTGCTTCTCCCTCTGACCCTACCCCCTCTCATGCTCTCTGTCTCTCATTCTCTCTCTCGCAAATAAATAAAATCTTAAAAAACAAACAAACTATGTGCAGAAGAGATTTTTGCTGGGGGAAGGACAATGTGTATATTATGCTAACAATTATAAAGGTATGTATGAAAGAATATGCTCATATATGCACGAAACCTCTCTGCCCCTGCACACACCATACCTAGGCAACAGAAGTTGCTGGGAGAAGCCCAGGGATGGCATCAGGGTGGGAGGGAGATGTATTTTCACCTTACGCTTTTGTACTATTTTGACTTTTTCTTTCTTTTTACCATTAGCATCTTATTCAGGAAAATAATTTAAGATGATTTCTAAGTATGAGGAATAAGAGTTGAAGGGGAAAAACTTCCAATTTCTATATAATTTCGCAACAGCCCTGCAAGATAGATGTGTTATTACAGAGAGAGGAAATAACTGGCTCAAAATCATCAAGCTAGAAGTAGAATCCAGGTAAAGCTGAATCCAAAGCAAAGGTATCTTTTAGTTTTATACTCTCGACACGTAAGTACCCTGGATTGTTGTTATGATCAAACTGCAAAAAAATTTAACAATCAAATATAATTGATATAGTTAATTTATACAATTTAATTTAAACTTGCTAGATACAACACTATTGACTGATCTAAGAGGTTTTTTCTTTTTTTTTTTAATTTTTTTTTAAAGATTTTATTTATTTATTTGAGAGAGAGAGAATGAGAGAGAGCACATGAGAGGGGGGAGGGTCGGAGGGAGAAGCAGACTCCCTGCAGAGTAGGGAGCCCGATGCGGGACTTGATCCAGGGACTCCAGGATCATGACCTGAGCTGAAGGCAGTCGCTTAACCAACTGAGCCACCCAGGCGCCCAAGAGGTTTTTTTCTTTATGATATATAATAAATGGCTACAGTAAATGAGAAGGTATACTTTTTCTAAGGCAATCAAAATTCAATTAAAATTAAAAGACTTTCTGGGACGCCTGGGTGGCTCAGTCGATTAAGTGTCTGACTCTTGATTTTGGCTCAGGTCATGATCTCAGGGTCGTGGGATCGTGCGCTCCACTGGGCTCACTGGGCTGCTTAAGATTCTCTCCCTCAGGGACGCCTGGGTGGTTCAGTCGGTTAAGTGGCTGCCTTTGGCTCACATGATCCTGGGGTGCTGGGATCGAGCCCCATGTCCGGCTCCCTGCTCAGCGGAGAGCCTGCTTCTCCCTCTCCCTCTGCCTGCCACTCTGCCTACTTGTGCTCTCTCTCTGTCAAATAAATAAATAAAATCTTTAAAAAAAAAAAAGATGCTCTCCCTCTGCCAAAAAAAAAAAAAAAAATCAAAGGCTTTCCAAGGACTTTGATTTTAAAAAATCACAATGTTCCTATTGCTTCTGTTTCTTTTCCGGAAATTTAAAAAAGATTATATCAGCGAAGACAGACAAGTCTTCAATGCTCAGTGCTATTCTATGCTGGATAGGCCCAACTAGGTAACTGAAGGACCTGGCAAATTATGAGGTTACTCTCACTATGGAAACCTCCCTGTGTTCCTATAATTAATGGAACAGTATAATCTACAAATGTGCATCTTGTGCCTTCCTCAAGAAATTAGACAATGCTCATGCCTGCTTTATCCTGAGGCAGCAAGCATACCCTGGTGCCTGGCTGAGGGTAGAGGCTCCTATCCCCCTTCTGAGAGGCCTTTTCTCCTATCTTCTCCATATAATTTCTAGCCTCACTGCAGGCCCTATCTCCGGATCCGGCACCTGTTATTTGCTCACAGGAGGCAAAGCTTGGTTTTATCGCTCCGCCTTAGGCTTCATGGCCGCCGCACCTGTTGCAAGTGATAAACAACCAGAATTTTCAAGTAAAGCTTTCCTGTTGGAAAGCCGGCATATGGTGCTTGAGGCAAGACAGCCTTTCCAAGAGACCTTTCAAAGGGCCGCGCGCCACTTGATCTTAGCCAAAAGGCCGAGAAGCGCCTGGAAGATGAGTGTGTGCTGGAGGAACACGGGGAAAGACAGCGGTGCCCAGTGGACCCGAACGCTGGGCAGAAGTCCAGCCGCAAAACCTCACCGGGTGGGGCCCTTCCTGGGCTGCGGGACGCCCGAGCAAGGCTTTCCCATCATCAACACCAGGAAGGGCTTTTAGGGGTCAGTTCTTTCCATCCAAGGAAGGGAGCAACAAGTAACACTACTGGGCCACACTACACGGCAGGTGCACTCCCAGATGCCACGGGGACTCACTCCACGGGTGAGACGCCGAGGCTGGGAGAGGTCACACATCTGAATGCGCCTCACAGCCGTGCTTCGCCGTTCGGTTCAGTTAGTCCGCAGGGTAGGTCAAGTCCGCGGAGGGGCGGTGCAAAGGCGCTTTGTTCTGCCCAAAGCTTAGCAGGGCCGGGCGTCCGCAGGGACCTAAATTCTGTGTGTGCTGTGGCTGCGAACTTCCCCACCCGCCCGGGGCTCTTCGCGCCGACCTCCAACCCAGGAGGACTCGGCCCGAAGCCCAGCTCAGGGTGGGAGCCCGAGTCGCAGCCTGGCTGCGCTGCGGCGATGGGGCCGCGGGACTCTCATGTCCCCGCAGGAAGCTGCAGTGCCTGGGCCCACGGGTCAGCGCCGCACTGTGATCGGAGTGATTTTTCAAACGTCATTCGCTCTCCACTTTGGATTTCGCCTTCACAGACCTCCCCAACCCCTAAGATGCCCCTGCTCTCTGCCGTAGCTGCGACAGCGCGAGTCACCGGAAGCGAGGGGCTGCAAACGCCCCTCTCTGGGCCTGAACCAAAGCAGCGGTTTGTGCCTTTGAGTTCTGAGGGACCCTTCACGGTCCACCTGCCTCGGCTGCTCTTGTTTCAGCCGTGGGGGGTGTGTGGTGTGTGGCGTGGCGGGGGGGGCATGAGGAAAGAAGCCTCCGGAAGGCGGGGTCAGGTCCAGCCTCGGCCGAGCGCCCCCCTTCGGCCGCTGCACCCTGGGCTTAGGGGCGGCCTCGGCGGGGAAGGGGGGCAGTGCCCCTTTCCCTTTGGTTAAGCAAGACCGACCTTGAATTTTCCTCAGAAGGAACTTTTGTGAGAAGCTGTACGGTAAAGAGAACAAGAGTAAGGGGACTGGATGCGTTTTACGCGTTTACTAGGGTTCTCCTGGCTTCCCTGGAGCAGCCCCATCAGCGACTGGCCAGGCTCTTGCCACCAGCTGTGCACACCTGTCCTGGGCCTCTTTTCATCACCCGGGTTTGCCTTTACCCTCCCCATCCTCAGCCTGAGCTCGGGTTCAGCGGCCGCCCTAGCTCTTGTGATTTCTACCTGCCTTCCCCACTCCTCAAACAGTGCTTCCCCCATCTCTCTCTGAGCTGCCTGCTGAGTGGGTCTAAATGCACTGATGCGGCTCTCTCCCGTGCTGGGTGAATTCTCCCTCTCTTTGCCCATGGGTTTCTAGAATCTTCTCATCGGCCCCTCGGTTTCCACCCTACCTCTTGCCTGCTGGCTTGTTAAGGCATCTTCTCAGCTGGGATATTGTTCTAAGCCAACACCTCTACCTACTTTCTTTAGTGACCCCGTTATTTTAATTTCAGGAGCCAGTCTGCAGCTAATTCACACCTCCCAGAATGCACAAGCCTCCTTGCAGCTCCTCGCTGGAAAAGCCACCAATCTTGTGACAGCCCCAGGACACCTCGCTCCTCAACCCTGCTTTGTGTCCTAAATGCAAGCCCATCACACTTCTCAGCCGTTCCTACCACCAAGCTTTGTGCACATGGGGCCCATGGTCAGTACGTCCCGCGATCTGCTCTTCCACTTGGTGAGCTTCCTCTCTAAGGCAAAACAGAATGGGGTTTAGAACATGGCGCTGGCAAGTTACTGGATTTCTCTAAGCTTGTTTCCTTGTCTGTAAAATGTGGGTTAATAATAGGGTGTTGTGAGGATTAAATGAGTTCATGTGTGAAATGCTTTCAAGAGTGCCTACCACATAATAAGCTATTATTATGATCAATAATTCACTTTAAAAATACACATACACACATGTGTACAGAAAGAGAACGTGCGTGCATGTGCTAGCTCAGCCCTCAAATAGTTATTCATGGTCCTGGTTTTTCCCTGAACCTGTGAATTCCTTAAGGGCGAGAACAATGCACACCGTAGCAAATGCTGGCCCAATCATCTCAGGGATGGAGGGTGGCTGGGGGTCAGGAACATGGCCCCTGGGCTGCCTCGGTTTCCTTCTCACTTTGCCACTTAATAGGTGAGCGATCTTGGCCCAGTTTCTGGACATTCTCTAAACCTTATTTCTTCATTTGTAAAAGGGGAAAGTAACTCTCTCTTCTCTGACTTGGATACTGCCAAGATAAAAATTATCATGTATGTAAACCACTCAGCAGACATCTAGAATGGCACTTGCCATTTCTGCTGGATTCTTTGTTCTGTTTGTTGCCATTAGGTTCTATTCTTAAACTGTCTTGATAAGGAATTTACTATAACCAAATATTTTTCTAGATAAAAAGTCAAAGAACCTTCAGGATCTTTCTCCTCAACTGTTGAAAAAGTCTACAGTTACAACCCAGCTGGCCAAAGAGAAATTAGATTTCATTCCACCAGGCTTCAGTGGCTATAAATGCCTGAAGCCTGGTTATCAGGTAGGATCAGTGGGCTGCTTTCCTGTGGAGGGCCCTTGGATTAGACTGTATTCCTACACACCACTGGTCTGTTGTAAACACTGGGGCTACCTTGAAATAAAACTCTGGAATAACACTTTTTTTTTTTTGTGGTATGTGTGGAAAACAAAAAACAGAAACAACCTATGTCTTAAGGATTACAAAGTTTTTCCAAGAAGGGTTTAAAACTGAAATATCAATCTGTTCCAGACTAACTTCTAGTCATTTTCTAATTTTTAACATCGTAAACAAGAAATTACTCAACTTCCTACATTGCTTCTATTCATAAAACTGACTTCTTAGCTGGTAGCACTGTGACCATGAAGAAATAAGTGACTATGTTTTGATGAAAATTTGAATTCTGGTTCTAAGGAACCAAAAAGCCCACTTAAAGGATAACACGTGTGCACATACATGACACACCACTTTCATAGCTATGGAGACCATGACTAATTGAAACATAAAAACTTAATGATGCCAGTTAAATCTCAAAGCCACAAAATGGCAGGTTCAAATTTCAATGGCTGATAAATCTTCCCTAAGATTGATGTAAAGCTCTATCCTCTTAATTCACTCATTTCATTTCTTAGCTCTTGTAAAAATTCTATATTTGGCCCTGAACAGCAGAACCCTACTATTTTATTTATTTATTCATTCATTCATTTATTTATTTAAAGATTTTATTTATTTATTTGACAGAGAGAGACACAGTGAGAGAGGGAACATAAGCAGGGGGAGTGGGGGAAGGAGAAGCAGGCTTCCCGCCGAGCAGGGAGCCCGATGTGGGACTCGATCCCAGGATCCTGGGATCATGACCTGAGCCGAAGGCAGACGCGTAACGACTGAGCCACCCAGGCGCCCAGAACCCTACTATTTTAAAAAAAGTCTTACTCTCTGCTAGGGTTTGAAATAATGTGAAAAGTGTGAAAGTACACTAACAGAGACTGTGGTATGGTCATTAAACAGTCCTACATCTCCTGACTGCGATGAAGGAAAATAAGAACTCACCATAAATGGGAAGGAGAGCAAAGAGAACAAACTAGGTTAATTTTCACTGGAATAAAGTGAGGTGGGGAGGAACTATCCTACTAATTTATGAAAATCTATTGAGGAAGAAGCCAACCTCAACACAGCCCACTCTAGAGAGTAAGATCAAACACTCAGCTGAACTCTCTAGCACAGAGTTGGCTGGAAATATCAGGAGAGCCACTGAACCAGTCAATCTCTAGGGATAAAGACGTACTGAATAACCTCTGCAGCTTCTAGAAATCCTTTAACCCCATATGCACCTAACAACAGAGCCCCAGAATACATAAAGCAAAAACTTACACAACTGAAGGAAGAAACAGAAAATTCAGTAATAATCACTGGAGCCTTCAATCCCCCACTTTCTTTTGTTTTTTTTTTTAATATTTTATTTATTTATTTGACAGAGAGAGAGCACAAACAGGGGGAGCGGCAGGCAGAAGGAGAGGGAAAAGCAGGCTCCCACCAAGCAAGGAGCCCAATGAGGGGCTCAATCCCAGGATCCTGGGATCATGACCTGAGCTAAAGGCAGATGCTTAACCAACTGAACCACCCAGGCGCCCCCCATTTTCAATAATAGATAGAACTATATAGCAGATAAAAGAGGAACAAGAAGATTTGAACAACACTATTAATGAGCCAGACCTAACAGACATTACAGAGCACTCTATTCAATAGCAGAATATATATTTTTCTCAAGGTGCACATGCAATATTCTCCAGGTTAGACCATATGTCAGGCCATAAAACAAGCCGAAAAGTATTTAAAATGATCAAAATCATACAAAGGTATGTTCTCTTACCACAAGGTAATGAAATTAGAAACCTATAAGAGAAGGAAATTTTGGAAATCAGAAACGTATTTTTTTTTTTTAAAGATTTAATTTATTTGAGAGAGAGTGAGAGAACAAGCACAAGTGGAGGGAAGATCAGAGGGAGAGGGACATGCAGACTTGGCACTGAGTGTGTAGCCCAATGAGGGGCCCGATCCCACAACCCTGAGATCATGACCTGAGCTGAAATCAATAGTTGGATGCTTAACCAACTGAGCTACCCAGGCACTCCAACATGTGTGGTTTAAACAACATATTCCTAAATAACCAGTGGGTAAAAAGAGAAATCACAGGGGAAAGTAGAAAATACTCTAGGATAAATGATACAAAAACCACAACATACCAAAACTTATGGATGGGCAAAATTATGCTTAGATGAAAATTTATAGTTGTAAATGCTTGTAAGAAAGACCTGAAATTAATAACCTAATTTTCTACTTTAAGAAAAAATAAAAAAAAAATAATAAAAAAGACCCAAAGCAAGCAGAGGAAGAAAGTAACAAAGATCTGAGCAAAAATTAATGAAATAGAAAATAGAACAATAGGCAAATCAATGAAACCAAAAGTTAGTTCTTGAAAAGGTCAAAATTTACAAACCTTTAGCTAGCTTGACTAGGTAAAAAAGAAGACTCAAGTTACTAAAATCAGGAATGAAAGAGGGGACATTACTACCAACATTGCAGGAATAAAAAGAGGTTATAAGAGAATCTTACAGACAGTCGTATGCCAAGAGTGAGACAACCTTGATGAAATGGACAAATTACTACCGAGATAAAACTATAGAAACTGACTTAATTAGTAATAGAAAATATGAATAGGCCTATAACACATAAAGAGAGAGAGAGTCAGCAGTCAAAAAACTTCCCACAGGGAAAAGTCCAGGGCCAGATGATTTCACTAGTGAATTCTACCAAATAATTATATAGAATTAACATCAATCCTCAAACTCTTTCAAAATACAGCAGAGGAGGAATTACTTCATAATTCATTATATGAGGCCAGCATTACACTGATACTAAAGCCAGAGAAAGACATCACAAGAAAATTACAGGCCAATACCTCTTATGAGTATAGATGCATAGATCCTCAGCAAATACCAGCAGCCTGAAATCTGCAACATATAAAACTATAATCCCATTGTGACCAATTGGGATTTATCCCAGGAATGCAAGGTTGGTTCAACACATGAAAATCAATCAATACAATATACCATATTAATATGATACAGGACAAAACTCACACAATCATCACAATAGGCACAGAAAAAGCATTTGACAAAATCCAAAACCCATGATAAAAACACTCAATAACCTAGAAATAGAAGGGAACTTTTTCAATCTGATAAAGGGCATCTATGAAAATCCCACAGCTAACATCATAGTCTGAAAGCTTCCCCTGAAAGTCTGCTGGTATTTGCTGAGGCTGCTGGTATTTGCTGAGGATCTATGCATCTATACTCATAAGAGGTATTGGCCTGTAATTTTCTTGTGATTCTTGTGATACCCCATTCCTGGGATAAATCCCAATTGGTCACAATGGGATTATGTTTTTTTTTTTAAAGATTTTATTTATTTATTTATTAGAGAGCGAGTGAGAGAGAAACAGCATGAGGGAGGAGAGGGTCAGAGGGAGAAGCAGGCTCCCCGCTGAGCCGGGAGCCCGATGTGAGACTCGATCCCAGGTCCCTGGGATCATGACCTGAGCCGAAGGCAGTCGCTTAACCAACTGAGCCACCCAGGCGCCCTGGGATTATGTTTTTATATGTTGCAGATTTCAGGCTGCTGGTATTCCCTGCTGGGAAGTTTTTATCTAGGTTATTGAGTGGACGAACAAAATGTGGTATGCGTCCATACGATGGAATATTACTCAGCCACAAAAAAGAATGAGTGTGATTCATGCTACAACATGGGAGAAGATCAGAAAGATCAGAAACAACACATGGAAATCTGTTTGCTCCTACTTCTCTTGAACATTCTACTAACGGAGGGTCTAGCCAGGGTCAACTAAGCAAGAAAATAAAATAAAAGCCATCCAGATTGGAAAGAAAGAAGTTAAAACTATTTCTATTTGATGAAGAGATGACCTTTTATATAGAAAATTTTAAGGCATCCACTAAAAGACTATTAGACTTAGTAAATGAGTTCAGCAAGGTTCTAAGAATAAAAGATCAATGTACAAAAATCAATCATATTTCTACAGAAATTAAATGGAGAAAGACATCCTTTGTTCATGGACTGAAAGACTTTTTAATTTTACTATTTTTCAAAGATTTTATTTATTTATTTGAAAGAGAGACAGAGAGAGAGAATGAGTGGGGCGAGGGGCAGAGGGAGAGGGGGAGGGAGAGGGAGAATCAGACTCCCTGCTGAGCAGGTACCCTGAAGCGGGGTTCGATCCCAGGGTCCTGAGATCATGAACTGAGCCGAAATCAGATGCTTAACTGACCGAGCCACCCAGGTGCCCCAATATATATTTTTTTAATTAAAAAAATTTATTTTAATTTTTTTATTTTTGAAGATTTTATTTGACAGAGACACAGCGAGAGAGGAAATATAAGCAGGGGAAGTGGAAGAGGGAGAAGCAGGCTTCCCGAGGAGCAGGGAGCCCAATGAGGAGCTTGATCCCAGGACTCTGGGATCATGACCTGAGCTGAAGGCAGACGCTTAACAACTGAGCCACCCAGGTGCCCCTAAAACATTTTTTTTTAAGTAGGCTCCACATCCAGCATGGACTTGAACTTACAACCCTGAGATCAAGACGAGAGATGAGAACAAGAGATGGACGCTTAACCGACTGAGCCACCCAGGGACCCCAAAAGACAGTATTGTTAAGATGCACTACTACCTAAAATGATCTGCAGATTCAGCATAATCCCTATCAAAATGCCAGCTGGCATTTTTGCATAGACTGAAAAACTGATCTTAAAATTTATATGGAAACGCAATGGACCCTGGATAGCCAGAACAATCCTGAAAAAGAACAAAGTTGGGAGGAGTCACACTTCCCAATTTTAAAACTTTCTACAAAGCAACAGTAATCAATATCATGTGATACTGGCACAAGGACAGAAAGGGAGGCCAGTGGAACAGAATTGAGAGTCCAGAAGTAAACTCATATATCATGTGTAACTGAGTTTTGACAAGAGTACCAAGACCACTCAATGGGGGGAAAGAATAATCTGTCCAACGAATGGTACTGGGACAAATGCAAAGAATGAAGGTGGATCCCTACCTCACACCATATACATATATTAACTCAAAATGGATCAAAGACCCAAATATATGAACTAAATGATAAAACTGTTGGAAGGTTTTGTCACCTTGAATTAGGCAATGGTTTCTCAGATATGATCCCTAAAACACAAACCAAAGGAGAAAAACAGATAAACTGGGCTCCATCAAAATTAAAAACTTGTATTTTGAAAGATACTATCAAGAAAGTGAACAACTTAAAGAATAGGATAAAATATTTGTAAATCATATATATGATAAGGGCCTAGTAATCTAGAATATATAAAGAACGCTTACAACTCAACAACAAAAAGATCACCTAATTTAAAAAAATGGTCAAAGGACTCAAATAGACTTTTCTCTAAAGACATTCAAGGGGCCAACAAACACATGAAAAGCTGCCCAACATCATTAGTCATTACGGAAATGCAAATCAAAACCATAACGAGATGGTTTTAAAAAGGAAAAAAGTAAGTGCTAGTGAGGATGTGGAGAAACTGGAACCTTTGTACACGGCTGGTGGGAACGTGAAACTGCAGTTGCTTTGGAGAACACTTTGGCCATTTTTCAACAAGTCAGAGCTACCACATGACCCAGCAATTCCACTCCTAGGGACAGACCTGAGAGAATGGAAAAGACAACTTTCACAGAAACTTGTCCACCGATGTTCACAGCAGCATAAGTCATGATAGCCAAGAGGTGGAAACAACAAATGTCCATCACTGGATGAGTGGACGAACAAAATGTGGTATGCGTCCATATGATGGAATATTACTCAGCCACAAAAAAGAATGAGCGTGATTCATGCTACAACATGGGAGAACTTGAAGATGTTCTCCTCCGTGAAAGGAGCCAGACGCAAAGGGCTACATACTGTATGATTCCATTTCTATGAAATGTCCAGAAATGGGTAGATCCAGAGAGACAGAGAGCAGATCTGTGCTTTCCAGGCTGGCAGGGGGATGGGAGGGGTGAGAAGTTAACTGTTCATGGGTACAGGGCTTCTTTTGGGGGTGATGCAAATGTTCTGGAATTAGGCAGTTGTGATGGTGTACGACCTCGTGAATATGCTAAAAACCACTGAAATGGCTTATCCTTCACAAGGGTAAATTTTTATGGTATGTGAATTATATTCAATCGAAAAGATAAAAATCTTAAACCCCCTACTGATTGGAGAATGACTGCGGCAGTGAACCCATTACCAGTGGGAGTAAGTTCTCATCTCTCAGGGTTGCTGAAGTAAAAAGTGGAGAATTCATTGCTCAAAATGTTCACACATACGGATGATCCTTCAAGCACAGAATTCAATAGAACATAAAATATTTCAACATTTTCCTCCTCAATACAGCAAAAAACACCTCATTTACACTTGTCAAATTGTTCTGTTTCAGCTTTTTAGAATTTGCTGTTTTTTAAAACCAGGTGGAAACCCATCTCGGACAGATGTAATTTATTACTAATCAGGGTGTATTCTGGGAAATTTCCCTTAGACTCATTCTTTCATCCCACCAATATTTATTGAGCACTTACTATGTGCAAAGCACTCTACCAGGCACGGGGGACGCAGTGGTGAGCCACATGACTTAAATGTCCCTGCTGCCATGGGGCTGACGAAGGAGCAAGAGATTCTCAGAGAGGATGCTGACCCTGAAGAAAATGAGACGGAGGAACCCCACCGAGGGTCCGGGCATGTGTCACCGCGCAGGATGTGCCCACGCTCTGGTCATACTGGGGCGCAGCAGGGGCCCGGGTGAAAATGCCAACAGCGTCACTGTTCCTCCCAGGGGGGGGACTCATGAGTACATTCTGTCTCTGAAACAAACGCACGTGAAATCTGGGTATGGGATCTCCAGGTCGGCCTTCCGGACACAAGTGGGTCAAGAATACTCGACGACGTGGTCTTTTTATTTTATTATTTATTTATTTTAATACAAAGCTTTGGCATTAGCAATTTTATGAAAAAATAAAATGTACTAAAAATAAACGCTTGTGTGGCATGATTGGTAAATGATGCACAAAAATAGGTTCTTTTTTCCTTCAAGGCAATCAGTCAGAAAGCAGTTTTTTTTTTCTTCTTCAAAACCACTCTACCCTGTGGAATGAAAGGAAAAAAAAAAGACAGAGGTCAAGAATTAGTTAAAGGGGAGTTGCCAGTATTTTAAAATAACAAGAGAAAGTGATCCTCACTCCAGGGTGGCCTGGGGCCTGTCCCCAACTACTTCCTAGCCCCAATGGGTAAAGCTAGTCAGCCCCTGGCATTTTCCTGAACTCAGCAGCTTCACATCTGTGGTCAAGTGGCTCAGTCACCTTACAGGTGTGTGTGTCCTCCCAAAAGGACTGCAGGGAAAAGCCCAGGCTAACAGCATCTTGTTTAACAATGTAGGGACAGTTATCATACAATTTACAACTTTTCCTGGTTTGAATGTATGTTCTCAGGGCTGTGTGTCCTGAAATCTACATCTGTATCTTTGCAGTAGGATTCCCCTTTATGCCTCAAACAAGAATGTCAGTCTTTACTGTGGAATGAACTTTGCAGAGTACAGACTTCCAGGGGGTGCGGCTCTCTCACTGGACTCGCCCAGACTGCGTGCGTGCACGTCCCTCAATCAGGAGCCTGACGGAGCCTGGGGTCTTGGGCTAACACTGCCCCCCACCCCCAGCCTGGCTCTATGGGACTGCCCTAGCTCCCCGAAGCCTTGCACAGCTGGTTCACTTCCTTGGTTCCCAATTCATGTCTGTAGTGGTGCTTTCTCTTCTCTCTGCTCACTTCCAGATCCACGTTCCTGACTGCTTCATCTCTGGTCATCGCACAACTCTCCAGCACCTCTTGATTTCCTCTCTTCCCCCTGACTTCCTCCTTCAGCTCCACATTTCCACCTAACCCATCTTCCTGCCTCAGGTCTCTACCGGCAGAGCAACTTCTCAGCCACAGGAATCCTCTTTTTTGCTGAAAAGCCTTACACACTACCGGCTGTTTGCAAGAACCCAGTCCAAATTCTGCAGTTGGCCTACCGACAACCACCGCTTCCGGCCGACACATCAAACCCAGAACTCCCTGAACCTGCTCTGCCTTTTCCTCTTTGTGTCCTACTTATGCCCGGCCTCGTTCCGGAGTCACCCCCTCCAGGAAGCCTCTGTTGACCCCCCCGGAACCAGAGCGGCAGCGCCACGGCGTCTGTGAGCCGGTGCTCGGTCCGCAGGCTCTCCTGTCCCTTCGGCGGGCGCCGTGAGCCTGAGCCCTGTGCACGGCCGCCCCTTCCCCACAGCACCCTGCAGGGCGAGGCCTGGCGCCTGGGGGGCTGCTGGGGACACTGAATGAATGAGAGGCCTGGCAGGAAGGCCATTCACAACTTCACACAGAGCTCTGGACCGGGCTGTTCCTTCAGTCCTGCTAAAGATAATGCACTGATTTTATAAAACTTCCTCAGAGAAATCAGATATTAGAGGTCAGAACTTCCAATGGGTGCGTCGAGATTTTTACACTTAACTTTATTTGGCTGCTCTTCTAAGGAACTATAAACTAAGGCAGCCACAAGATTAAAGGTACTTGTGAACACCACAAAGACCGTGACGGAGACAGGGCAGAAGTCCCATCAAAGGTCCCCCCCCCATTGCCTTTAATCTTCTTTGTGTCATCACGTTTCCAGAAAGCCAACTGTCTTCTTCCACCATGTGATGTGGAACCCTTAAATGTCTCTCTGGAGTAGTCACAGACAAGCACTGTAAAGAGGTGGACCCAGAGATACGGGCTTGAACACTATGCCCCTCTTCCTATGGCATTTCTCAGGGAGTCCCCCAGCCCCTCTGGGCCCCGGGTTATTTTGTGTATGTATCTTATGCTCAGAGTGGCTAAAAGGAGAAGTCAATACTAACAGAAGGAAGAGGATTCATGATTAAACCGGGGGCAAGTTCAAAGCTTCGCTGGCATTGCTACAAGGAAGGCTGCCTCGGAAAAATAAACAATCCACGATGGGTGCTGGAGGAAGCCAGAGGTACTCGGTTGAGAACCAGAAATTCAGAATGTTTTAGATCTGCGTTTCTCAAACCGCAGGCTGCCGCCTATTACTGAACCGTGAGAGCAACATGGAGTTCCCGACCAGCCTTAACAACAAGGTGCAGAGAAGAGATCAGCGAATACTGCACATGCTGAGGAAAATATCTGTGAAGCCTGTTTCAGTTACACATGTGTGGATATGTGTCCCAATGTACAATGCAGATCTTACAGTGGCAGGCGGTTAAAAAAAAAAAAAGCTTAAAAATCACTGGTTTTGATACCTAAGGTTCTAAAAGAGGCAGCCAGCTGCCAGGGCACGCAATGCCTCCCGTCCTAGGAAAGGACCACTTAGGACAGACAACCAAAGAGGGGTTCTCAGAACTGGAAGGAGCCTCCGACCTCCACCAGCCGCAGGGTCTGCCTCTGAACAGCGCCAGCCTTGTGGCTCGTTTCTGTGGCATAAGCAGGTCCTGGCAACTCACTAGCTTTCAAGGCATCCCATGTCATGGGTGGACACTGCCAACCAGCACAAAGGTCTTCTTTGTCTTCGGTGGTGCTCTACCTCCCTGTGGATGCCTGCAGAGCTCCCGAACTACACAGTAAGACCACCCTCTGTACGCACTGGCTAGTCCCCATGGGACTCTGATGAGTGTCACACGGGGCCGCACCCAGGAGTAAGTTGTTTGGGAGGCGCTCAGTGAACAGCAGCTGTTCTCATCATCTCTGGGAGCCCTTCAGATACTTGGAGACATCGCTCACATCACCCCCAACTCCTCTCTTCTAAGCCAAGCATCCCCAAGACATCAAAATGGTGATGTTTTCAGATCCTTTTATACTGAAATATGTCAATGTTCCTCTTAAGAGTGTGAGGAGAATGGGGCGCCTGGGGGGGCTCAGCTGGTTGAGCATCGACTCTTGGTTTTGGCTCAGGTCATGATCTCAGGGTCGTGAGATCGAGCCCTGCGTTGGGGTGTCTGTTTGAAATTCTCTCTCTCCCCCTCCCTGCTCGCTCTCATGCTCTCTCCAAAATAAATAAACCTTAAAAAAAAAAAAAAAAAAGTGTGAGCAGAACAATTCAGAAATACTGAAAAGAGAGTAAAATAGAAACATTCCTTTGATGGGGCTTGTAAGTTTCTATCACTGGGCTCAAGCTCCCCAGGCATACTGGTGGGGACGACTCTGACCTGGGGCAGAGTTAGGGTTTCCTGGCCTCGGGTTATGCTACAGGATTTTACATTTGTTCCAGTTATTGTGCATGAACTGTGTCAGGTTCACTTCCTCCTGCTGAGACGGTTTTGGATCCTGAATGTCTGGGTTATACTCCTGGGCAGATCCTCGGGCACGAGTTCTAGGAATCAGAACCTAGGAACCGAGAAAGGACACGGTGGAGGATACCTAACCCAACTTCCCATTCAGCTCAAAATCTGCCTACATCACCTTCCTTGTCTCACTACTTGTGCCTCAAATAAAAACAACAATGAAAACATTTACTTTTCTTATGTTGAGGGAAAAACGGACTGATACAAACGTAAGCTGGTAAATGCTGGGATCTAATGAGGTTTTTTTTTTTTTTTTAAAGATTTTATTTATTTATTTGACAGAGAGATAGAGAGAACAAGTAGGCAGAGAGACAGGCAGAGGGAGAGGGAGAAGCAGGCTCCCCGCCGAGCAGGGAGCCCGATGCGGGGCTCGATCCCAGGACCCTGGGATCATGACCTGAGCTGAAGGCAGCTGCTTAACCAACTGAGCCACCCAGGCGCCCCTAATGAGGTTTTCTGAATAGTGAAGTAGAGCAGCAAACCTCCTTTGGGAACTGAAGTTCACTAACCTTGCCTACTTAAGTACTAAGAAATGGGGTATGAGAAGATGATAAATGTATTTACCTTGCATTTATTTGCTTCCTTGCCTACTATCCTGTTTATACCTACCAAGCCTCAACATTCACTAGATTTGTTCGCCGTATTAAAAAATTAAAGCACAGTCAGTCATGGTTGAGTATTTCAATAGTATTTCGACACACCAGAAGGGGCGTGACTTCAGATCAGACAACGGCGTCAAGCCCTGGGGAACGGTGCAGGCGCGGAGCGTGGTGAGGGAGGAGGCCGTGCCCTGACCCCCAGCGGGGCAGCGCTGCACGTGCCTGGCCTCCCCGTGCCCCACACTGCTGCCTCTTGCCCACAGGCTCTCACCAGTGACCAGACTGGGTCAAGGTCTTGCTGCAACCACAATACACAAGTTCAGTGCAACGCTGTCAGAAGAGCAAACTAGGGTAGTAGGTAATATGTGGAGAGGTGAATTTTACTAGCAACTTCCAAGATAAATCGCTCACATGGGAGAAGATGGAATTCTACTCCTATAGACTATCTCACACTTGGATGAGGTCACCTAGAAAATTAAAACAGCAATTCGATTGAAAAGGCAATCTCATTTTGGCTGTAAGTTTTTGGTAAAGGCAAAAAGGGAGGTAAGATAGATTTTAAAGAATTCATTAATGAAGAATAATTATAGATTTATTTACTAATATAGACTTTTCTCTGGAATTAAAATCACCTAGGGATTTTTCATCAACATTCTTGGGAAGGAGACACTGAGTAAGAGTGACTGTCTTTCTTTTATCCTCCACAATTAAAATGGCCTTTAAAATCTTAAGTAATTCATGTTATATAAAAAAGTCAACACATAAAAAGCACAATAGGAGAGAAAAACATCACCCAAAATGCTACTAAATTAAGACAATAACCATTCATATTTTGGTGACCATTCTTTCATGCATCCGTATGTCCACACACAGACACATACATACACACTCTCTCCCTCTCTCCATGGGATCATGAAAATCGTCCTTCAGAGTAGTTCTGACTGAAGGCACAGAAATAATATCTTGATGAACAACTGCTGTATCAACCCTCTACACAGGCTAATGGGAGAAGGGTTGGCCTAAGACATGGATCTAAGATCAATGCTTAGGCTGAGTCATGCAGGCATTTATGCTTGGAACCGAAATATTATGGCCCAGGGACTTTGATTTCTAAAAGGTAACATATCTACTGAACCTTCTCTAAAACACCTGCCGCATGACCTGAGCATCTGGCAGATCCTGGGTGGCAGCGAGACGACCATTAGATCACTTAACAGTTCTCTACAAGTGCCCAGAGTGTCTCTATTCGCTGTAATTGGCTTTCGCTCATTTGTGAGGTTTAAGGAGTAGGCTTACACCATCATCTAGTCTGATGGGGTCACTCTGAGAGTAAGCGAAAGAGGTGACTGCAGGTGAAATCAATATTTCTCTCCAAACTGAGGTCTGAATCACAGGACTCACAGAGCTCCGGTGATTCTGTATTATTTCATGGAAGAAAATGAAATTCATTTGTCAAATGACAGAGGCAGATAGATGGTCACCTTGTTCATAGGACTTTGGAAGATTCTCAGTGGAACTGTTCAGCTAACATTTATTGAGCACTTATAATGTACCAGGCACTGTGCTAAGCACTTTATATGTTACTTCGTACAACCTATGATGTATGCCTGCCATTATTCTTGCTTTCTGCATGACTAAAATGAACTTCCCGAGAAATATAGCTGCCCAGGTCTCCCAAGCAGAAAACGGAAGAACAGAGAGTCAAATCCAGGTTACGTCTGATTCTAGGGTCTGAGCAATGAACACTATGTTATGTTGAAGTCAACCTGCATCAGCCGGGTTGACCTGTTGGATGAGCAGCCAAGACTACTCCCCTGCAGGCTGAAGGATGCCAACTGACCCCGGCATCCTCCCAATGTGTGCTAGGGGCCAGGGGTGCCCACGGGCACTTCTTACAAGTATCGAGCCAACAGGTCAGGTTAGAGATGATAAAATCACGTCACTGTAACTGGAGGTTACTTGCCCATTTGTTTTCACAGTTGGACAATGAGTGTTCAATTAAATCAATTACATGGGCTTGGCCGGTTATTATTCATCTGTTAAGATGCCAGGACATAAGTGTGTGTGGAGAGCACGTGAATTCCCCCTGTGCCACATTAGGTCCATATCTGGGCTGCGTCCTAGAGACACTTTTATCTCCAATGAGTTTTCGTGAATACTGGTAAAAGAAAGGACTAAATAACACCTTATGGTAAACACCCTAAATTTAAAACCAAACCAAACCAAAAACCCTTCCTGTATCTTAGCCCTGTGGAAGGCAACTCCAGGGAAATCACTGGATCAAAATGGACCTCAGCAGCCAGCTAGCCCAGTTTCGCCTACCCTGGAAAACCTCTGACCTCCAGCAGCCCTGAGAGGTAATGCACGCGTCCGCCTGCACGCCTCGTCCTGAACTCTCCCCACGGCAAACCGTCTCTCTGGTGGGGGGGCCTTGCTGACAGATGGTCTTCCTTTCACTGAGATGAAATTCGCCTTCCTGTCCCCTGCCCTCTGGTCCTCATTTTGCCCCATGGAAATACAGATGACACTTATTTTGTTTTCCCAACAGTCCCTGACAGTCTTCCCAATCTCTGGAAACAGCGGGTCTTGCTGATTGCTTCTTTCTTGCAGGCTACACATCCAAGTCACTGTCCCTTGACCCCAGGCCAGGGTGCCAGTGTTCCGTCAAAAGCTAAATATGTAAGAATCCGGGTAAAGTCTGGTGGGCACACAGGACAGTGGGACTATTCCTGCCAACGATCAGGACACGAACCTTCTTTACATCCCGTGACTGTACGGGCCCCTTGGCGTCTGCATCACGTGGCTGCTGTACTCTAAGCCCGCGGCTAACGGAAGCCCCTAGATCTTTTCTCAAGGGAGCTGTTGTTGCTGAGCAAGGTGACCTCCCGATCTGTGTACTGACTACAGATACATGTTCACGAAATGCATTACTTTGCTAGGTATGACCTCATCAGGATCAGTACGAAACCGGTGGAAGCCAATTTTCACATCTTTATGAAAAGTACTCTACAGGTTTTCTTGGGGTCATGTGGTACATGCAATCCAAGAATAACTGGTTACTTACTCATTAGCACTCAAGCTAGCCGTGGCTCTGACGATCATGTAGCAGAGCGTGAGGGCGCTGAGGAGGCCAAAACTGGCAATAATAAACCATTCTTCTGTTGACAAAGGAAAGGGAGCAAATCACTCTGGGGAGAAGACTTAAGTCAACTCGGTGTCAACACTTCCCTCAAATGCAACGAAGCAGATGTCAACGGAGGTGTAAGCCAAGGCTGGCCCAAGGAGGTGAAGCAGGAGGAGGTTTGCCAGAGAGCTACTAACTGGAGAAGGTTAGTGGAAGTAGTGGTGAGAGCTGCAAGGCAGAAAGGAAAGCGCGGCCCAGACATTTCTTCCAGTTAAGGTCCTGAGGTCTGTGAGGAGTGTGGCCACCAAAAGCACGCAGGAGGAAGAGGTCTATCAAGTTGCATGTGGACAGGGACTTTTAAAATCACTGCTTTAGATGACAGTACGTACAGCAGACCTGCCACACTTCTATAACCTTTCCTTCTTCCTTCTGTCGCTTCTGCACGGTTGTGTCACTCGTTCTCAGAGGAAGACTTGTAAGTACGGAGCAGGGGTCCCAAAGGTCTCGTGGGCACTCCGCACAGTCTGGAGGCTGGCCTTCCAGTCTGCTTTCTTTTGTCCTAGGCGTGGGTTTACTTACAGTCTTTATGGAAAACGGACATTTGATTGGTGTCCCTTGGAAAGGACTACCCTTCACACCCCCACCGGCGGGAAGCGGCTCCGGCCGTGTCAAGCAGGCAATTCACCAGGTACTTGGCCCGTCAGAGGGCTGAGAAGCTCTGGTACCCAGAACTCTAGGGTTTTCAGTTAGTCTCTCTCTCAATCCAGGACGTCTTCGTTAGTATTTTCCCTTCTTTTCAAAGTCTGAACTGTCAAGGTAACGTTCCAAAAACACTATTTATTGAGAACCTCAAAAATAACCTGTGAACCAATCCTGGCTTCCTAGAAAGGCTTACCTAGAAAATATTTCCCAGAGTATACGCTACCTTGGGCTGGTTTAACCAAGTGGTACACGGCGAAGCCCCCTCTGTATCTGCAGTGAGGCGGCGGGATGACATCTATACTTGGAATGCCAGATGTTTAATCGGCAAAAGCCATGGGTCACATGAGTGTTTCTCAATCTGGTTTCCACGAATCCCACAAATATGCAAAACTATGTGTGCCTAGGAACTTTTCTAGAAAAAGGTGATTATATTTTCATTGGGTTTTAAAGGTGGTGATCTTCAGAAGGTTGAGAACTGTTCTTCAGGATTCCAGGACGATGAGTTTGTTCTACAAGCATGTCTTGGCCATCCTGATTCATATTATTACAATGCTTAGCAAACTCTTTCTTTTTCGGTAACAGTGCCGCCACTGCTTCCTGGATTACAAATTCCTCACGAGTGCAGTGAATTTATTAAGGTCTTAAGTCAAAAATGAACATTTCAGAACCCATACCAAATTCACCATTTTTACCCTGCACAGATTTTAAGTTAGGAAAAATGTACCCTGGCATTTAAAAAAAGTTAAGAGCTGACTGGTCATCAGGATCAAGAAGCTTAACCCGGTGTTCTTTATTTTTTTTCTTCTCCGAGACCTTTAGACAGGATAAGCAGACTAAGTTTTAGAACTGCAGTTACGTGTGTGTTTCTGCATTCTGAGCAGAGCATCCGCAGATGTATGGCATTTCGGCTGTAAAAACTAGCAACCAAAAAGAAGCAAGCACTGCCGCGACGATCCCCAGTGGGCCCCGGGGTACTCCGGCAGCAGCCGGCCCCAGTCAGCTCTGCCCACCCCGCTGGGTACTTAGCACAGTGCCTTGCACAGGGGATGCCGGGCGAAAGTGCTGTGCTTGCTGAGACACTACAGGGCTGTGAGGGAAAAGGAGAGGTCGCTTTGGGTTAATTTAACCACACGAATTATTCATTAACATGCATCAATTCCACTAAAGAGGACTCATTTGATACAGGAAGTGACTTTTTTTTTTTTAATCATCAAAACGTAAGATTTTGAAAGGACGTTTCTGCAAAGACTATAATGGGATCAGAACTGAATGTAGTAGTAGGTGCTCAATAAATGTCGATCAACGAAGAGCCGACAAAAAGTCACTGCTAAACAAATAACCTCTGTTTCCTTTATTGCTACTAGATCAGTATTTAAAAAAATCTACACCCTAAAACCTGAAAACATGAAAAGCTGTTAAAACAACTCGCCGGGATGTGGCAGGAAATGAGTCAAACTGCATCGAAGAATACTCTTCCTTGTTTTATAACTGAATGAAGTCTCCTCGAGTTCAGACAAATGATAGACCAAAACCTGGGAAACTGCTGACGACTACTGATCTCTGGTCGGTGGAAAACGTGTGTACTTCAACTGAACAGCCCACTCGAGCCTCACTACGTGGAGGAGAAGTCTTTCGTGACGGTGTTCTCCGCGCCGCGGCCTCGCGGGGCTGAGGGCTGGAAGCTAGGGCAAGCGAGAGCACGCAGTGGGCAAGGCAGCACCGCAGAGGTGACAGGGAGGCTGGAGAGAGGCGGTTAGATGGAGAGACCACGTGGAGGATGGAGCTGAGGGGGCAGCTGGCTCGTGACAGGGTGACTGCCCACAGGCCCACACACACGCCGCCGGCTGCACGCACACCATCCTCGGGCGGCCGTCGACACACTCCGAGCACCGCAGCTCTCCTCGGCAACACGTCACCCATCCAGACGCCCCGGACTAGCGAGAGTGCTGTCAAAGGCACGTCACGCTTTGGCTTTTCTCCCGCCCCGCGTCCAGTGACCCCAAAGACGAAGTGCCAAGACCCCAGACTCCGTAAAGTGAAGTGAGCAGCAACAGGGCGTCTCGAGTCTCCCCAGAGGGAGCAACTCCAGGGAGTGTGTTCAGATTCTGCCCTGGGTTTCCGCTAAGCTGCCTGGAGCCTTGTGCTCGCGGCTGGTAACACAACACGACGCCCCGCGTCGCATCCCAGCGGGACCCTTTAAAATGCCCGTCTGCAAGGCGGCCATCAAAGCAGGTGTCTACACGGCTACTGAGACAACTTGTCAGACGGCCTACTTATTATACACAAATACACAAGCTCCTTACTATCAGGAAAGTTTTGTCTCCCCAAATTCCTGTTTTAACAGAGGAACCTGTCGCTTCCTCCGTGACGGACTAACTCCCTGGCCCAGGTGACTACCTCCACTGCCCTCTGGAGCAGTCAACACGCACCAAGCACAGCGGCAAACCTGCCCTGCGCCTGGGTACAGGGCCCCACTTACTTGTTACTGCAATGTTGATCTCTCCCGTTCTGGGAGTGAGCTCCCCGTCCTGAGGAAGAGGTGAGATCCCCGAAGTTCGAAGTGGCTCGAGGCCAAGGGAGTTGTCGCTGGCGAGGTCACCGAGGGCTGATCTTCGGTTAACGGCCTGGGTTCTGGTGAGCCTTTCCATGTCAAACGCTACGTTATCAGTACATGGCAAATTTGGCTGCAAAACATTTCCAAATTAAGAGTACTTATTAGAAGAAAAACAAATCTCTGATAAAATTCTAAATGTCTGACACCCTGTTGAAAAGACTTCAAGTTTTTTTTCCATGTGATTTCCTCTCATTTCTTTCCCCATTTACCCTTTCTCACCCAAGAGTTTTCCTTTAAAAGAAACAGATGATTCCCTCCCAAACATGATACAAAAGAAAACCAAAATCCATCGCAGAGCTGAGAAAACTGGGTACTTCATCTTCATGAAGAAACGACCACCTCTGGCGGACACAGATTACGGGCAGAGGGAGTCATTATCATTATTCTAAAGCTGACAAACAGGAAAATGCATTACTCCGGCTCTTCCATTAATGTTGAGGGAGAGCAGAGAACATAAAATACTGCGTTCCTCCTATTAACTTCTCTGTAATGCCCCATTTAGCTGGCAGTCAGTTTTTAAATGTCTTCTACCTTTAGACACAAGGAAAGCACATGACCAAGAGCAGATCGACGTTGAAAAGACCTTTGAGCTTTGAGTAAACCATCGGTTTCAAAATCTAAGCATCTAGCCCTGAAGGAGGTACAGAGCTGCTCTGGGGCCAAAGCCTACCAACTAAAAAATCGGTGGTAACAAGACGGTTTTCTGGTTTCCCTAGAACCTTCAGGTCGGGCAGACAGAGTGCTGGAAGCAGAGCTGGGAAGGATGGTGGGCAGAGGCACAAGTATGGAGAAGTGACAGCCAACCCGACCCACAGCAACGGCTTCCTCGGCGGGAGAACTGTTCTAGATCGCCCCACAGCCGAAGTAAGATGCTTAGAACGATACCCTGTCAGAAGAGCTTTACTGTGGTTTTTATATTTAAAACCATGGTAGCTTGTAATAGACTCTAGAAGGATGTTCTTTACAAACAAAAGGGAGAAGTGTCTGCACTTCCAAGACTGGACTGAAGACAAACAAACCAAAGCACCACCAAGGCTTGAGGCAACAAAAGAGGCCAAGGTAATACTTCCGGAAGCGTCTGCCACACGCCCGACATCATGGCAGACGCTCTATGGTAAACCCTTCCCATGGGGGTGACTGTTCCCCAAGGGACATCTGGCAACATCTGGAGACATTCTGACCTTGCATCTGATGAGTCATGCTACTAGCCTTTGGGAGCAGCCAAGGATGCGGGAGACACTCTACAGGACACAAGACGGCCCCCCGCCCCCACCCCCAGTGGAATTATCTGGTCCACAGTGTCAGTGGGGCTGAGGTGGAGTGACCCTATGTTCAGCTGTGTTACTGACGTGATCTCCGGAGCTGGAAGGAGCCACCCGGGACCGCTCATTTGTCAGCTGACGACAACACATTTCTAATAGGACGCCTTGGACGTGCTTTGGGTTGCAAAGCTAAAAGGAGCAGTTCATCTGCTGGACACATTAAACTTCTGGTTCCACAAGGAAATCATTCATCCACTCTTTCTTGAGATCAGTAAGTATTTTATTTTCCTCTAAGAGGTGTTAATTTTGGACAGTAGGTCTCTTAAGGGAGACCTGTAGGAAGTCTCCAAGGCCCTCGGTCAGTCAGTGCTGACCGGCCTGGCCAGAGCTGAATGAAGCACTGTGTCCTCGGTGTGGCCTCGGACCAAAGCCCCAGCAGGCTGGTACCGCCCACCTTCGCTGCCTGCAGCTGACCAACGCCCTGGGGAGCTAAGCCAGGTTCAAGAGAAAGGAACACAGTGATGACACAGTTTTATAAGATGCTGAATGCAGAAAAAATTTACTACTGGACTAAAGTAAAAAGTCTGTATTTCTAGTCCTTAAAAAAAAAAGATAATACCGGAACGAAAGCAAACCCTGTCCCTCTCTCCACTGCCATTCTTCATATTTCCACCACCCAATGGAAGCACACTTCTGAGTGGACGAGTTCAGTTCTTTATCTTCTCTTCTGGGAGTTCCCCAAGACGGGCTGGACTCTAAGGAATATGGAAGAAAGGCCATGTGGCAGAGAAAGCCCGTGCTCTCGCGGGAGACTTAACACCCACCTCTGCGATGCTAGCTCACACGCAAAAAGTAGTGACCATATAGGAAACATACCACAATTCCCAGGGCCTTCAAAATATTAAGTTTGCACATTGGACAGGTACAATGTTCACTAAGCCAGGGATCCACGCAGGACTTGTGGAAAACATGCCTATAAAAAAAAAACAACAGAGCATTGTATCACAGATCATATACTGAACAACTATTAGATCCAAAGAAATGGAATTTTTAGTTAGCCTGTTTCTCCCCCTTTTTGGACATACTGGCAAGTTCCAAGAGACAAATATTGGGGATGTTAAAATATAGCTGGCAGAAAACCTCCTGACCCCAATCTGTATGATGAGAACTGATAAGTGGTACTTGGCAGTTCGGTCTTTTTATTTCAGCACTTGAAGAAACTTAGGATATTTATTAAGAATGAAACAAACTATACCTTTTTTTTCATTAAACATTTTATTTATTTAACAAAGAGAGAGAGACAGCGCACACAAGTAGGCAGAGCGGCAGGCAGAGGGAGAGGGAGAAGCAGGCTCCCCACTGAGCAGAGAGCCCAATGCAGTACTCAGACTCTGGGACCATGACCTTAGCCTAAGGCAGATGCCCAGGAAACAAACTACACCTTATCAATCAGTTACGCTTTCTACAACAGCTAGAGTAGGAAGAAGGGAAATTCAAGAAGATACGAAGCAAGGGTTGAATGAAAAGAGTTTTCTGCACAACCACGAATTGGTTTCACGGAACTTGGTTTCAATGTCATTTAGAACATTATTTAAAAAGACTTCTAAGTAATCTATGTTAAATGTTTGTGAAAGTTACAGGGTGGTTGGGAGTATTTTGGAGATGAAAGGTACCTAGGAATCAAGTGACACTGAGTCAACAGTTTTCAGTGGAAATGTGAAGGGGAGAGAGAGAGGATGGGTGATTTTTTTTTTTATTCAGGAGAGTGGAATCCTTGCGACAGAAAAGAAGTCAGTCATGGAGAGTCTTGCATTCTTAGGAAAGGGAACTGTGCCTTGTGGAAGGGAGAGACTTTGAGGGGGCTGTGGTGGAAGCTAAAAATGAAGCCTCAGCGTCCTGGCCAGAGAGGGAGAGAGGTGGGTGCCAGGACACACAGTCTGGGCACCTCAGAGGAACTATGCTTGGAGTCTCGGTTATTGATAAAAGAAATTTTAAGAAAGAGATCAAATTTAAACATGGTATGCCTTTGCAACTTTATGAATTTATAATTTACATGTGGCTTATAAATAGTTATATACAGCTGTTTAAAAATGCAGTTTTGATCCAAAAAAATAGGAGGTCTAAACATCTCGCTGATTTAACTGGGATTTGGAAGAAACATGCAGGCTTACAGCTTCAACCTCAACAATGCATATGCGCCTACCTACTGCCACTTGGTGACCCTGCACTCATTTCTTCGGGTAAGAATAAAGATCTCGAAGACTGAATTTATCAGTGCAGTGAAGTAGAACCTCCTCATCCTGGAAGGCTTGTATTTAAACCTGCAGGTTTTTACTTAAGGGGCAAAAGTCACCAAACCGTAGGTGAGCCCGAAATTCATTTAGTACGCACAAGGCACGTCCACTTCTTGTTCCTCTATCCTCGTAGGAGAGAGAGTGCTCCAAGGGGGGCGGGGGAAGGGCTCCTGCCTACAGGGCCCCACTGGGCGGGCGCTTTCAGAGCCGGGGTCTACACCCCAGCAGCAGTCGACTGTGCCAGTGCTCACTATAGTCTGGCCAAGACTAGCACAAGGCTTCTAATCTTTCTGGGGATGCGGACTCCTTTACGTTGACTAAGTGACAGGATCCCCACCCCCCCTTACAAGGGTGCGTCTGCCAACCTCTGGCCCGTAGAGCTCTGAGGGTCTGGTTAGCGTAGGGTGGGTTTTCCTATGTTGGGCTTCTAAACTGCTCCCTTAGAGGTTTGTCAATGTGAAAGACAGTGTCCCTCCACCCCCCCTTGCGGTACTGTAATGGACAACAGACTAACTGAGTCTCCAGGGTCAAACCAAGAATGTCTCCCTTCCCTAGCTAGCTCAAAATCTGAAGAAAATAGTTTTTCTTTTTTTTTTTTTTTAAGATTTTATTTATTTATTTGAGACAGAGAGAATGAGAGAGAGCGAGCACATGAGAGGGGGGAGGGTCAGAGGGAGAAGCAGCCTCCCTGCTGAGCAGGGAGCCCGATGCGGGACTCGATCCCAGGACTCCAGGATCATGACCTGAGCCGAAGGCAGTCGCTCAACCAACTGAGTCACCCAGGCGCCCGAAAATAGTTTTTCTTAAAACAAAAAAAATCCTTTCCTTTTGACTATGGGTCGACGCCATGGCTCTCCTACTATTGACCCCCACCCCAGCCAACTACCTGCCCCCTCCCTCCTTTGACAGATTCCCCAACAGCCCGGTTCCTGCAGCTCACCTGGGGGGAAGATGGGGAGGTTGTCGGCCTGGCTCCCATGCATGCCCCTCTCGTCTGCAAATAGTCTGGCAGCTTCCTTGTTCACCTATGGGCCCTCTGATGCAGACCCCCCAGCCTCCTTGGGGGTCTCTGCTATGGTCTTGGTGGGTAACTACCCTGTGCGCCTTCCCGTGCTCCTCACCCATTCCCATACCCTCTTGCATCACTGGTGCCTGTGAGGCTGCTTGGAGCAGCCAGTGGCGGGCTGTCGTGGAACACTCAGAAAACACTCAGCAGCATGCCAATGTAAGGTTCTACTAAACGCACACTCAGGCGAAGTAACGTTAACGTTTCCCACGCTATCCCAATAAACGGTCAGAACGTGCGCGCAGGCCTCCGGTGCCGGCAGTCCCAGCACCAGTGACCTCTGACTAGCTCGCAGGTGTACCCCGGGCCCCCACGGACACCTCAGTGGGCGGCACGTGTGGCCAGCCAGACCTTGAAGAGAAGCCCTTCCCACGGTTACAAAAGACTCGAGTCATCAAAGCACACATGAAAGCAGAAAAGGGCCTGATGAATTTGGGGCCGAGTGGTGTACTGGGATGGAAAGCAGATGATGTGCTGAGGACCAGTGAAACGTGGAAAGGACAAGCAGATCGGAACTTTGACACAGAAGTTCTTTATTCCTGCAAGAAATACTCTAGGGTACAGAATGTGGAACGAAACTGGTAGTCGGGCGCCCTCCCCTTTCCTCCTTCCCGCACACGTCACGAACTAGAGAGAGCAGAGCGGTGGCCGGGGGTGGGGACAGGAGGGTACACTGAAGCGGAGTTGTTCTCACAGCTCTGAAGCCTCTTGGTGACGTGCAAGAACCTGGCCAATATAAAAGGATCCAGAATTACGAAAGGTCAGAAACGAGAACTCTTCCCCGTCGCTGGGCCGGCAGCAGACGCTGTTTGAACAGGCCCTCCCTCAAGGTGGGGGCACCCCAGCGACGCCTCCAGCAGCGGCCACAGGATGGACCCCTTTTAGGCTCCCAAAGTGGCATCCTGGACATACGTTGATCTGAACAGTGGCACTCTACTTCTGAAAAGTACTTTTTTTGTTTTTTTAAAGATTTTATCCATTTATTTGACACAGAGAGAAAGCACAAGCAGGGGGAGCAGCAGAGGGAGAGGGAGAAGCAGGCTCCCCGCTGAGCAGGGAGCCCGACGCGGGGCTCGATCCCAGGACCCTGAGATCATGACCTGAGCTGAAGGCAGACGCTTAATGGACTGAGCCACCCAGGCGCCCCCTGAAAAGTATTTCTAACTACTAAAAAAAAAAAATGCTGTGCCTGAGCTTTAAATAAGAGGTCTAAATAAGGTGATAGCTTCTAGGACGTGCTGGCTAATGTCCAAGGATGATCAGCTGTAATCAAAGGACACGAGGAGGAGGCCCCAAGCAATGCCAAGTGCCATCTGTCCATAGTAAATTAATGTGACAGAAGAGGAAAAGGAAAGGTCATGCAGCAAAAAGGCAGCAATCTATAGAGAGCTGCTCTCTATAGACAGAAAGTCTCAGTTCAGTCTCCAGATAGGCTTGTTCAAAGTTAAGGACGGACAGAAACAAAGGCACCTGGGCTTTCCTTGGTCCCTCACTCAGGTGAAGAAGGGACAGCGAGCACATCTCCTTCCCCAAGTCTGGCTGTGAAGGGAGGAGCCACAGGGCAGTGTTTGGCGATGGCTTATGAAACTGGCATAGGAGGGGCTTGAGAATGACGAAATGTCAGAGACAGAAGGAACAAAAACTGGCAGGAGCAGAGTCAACAGAGCAAGGTCCCTGAGGATGGGACGGGATTGGCACGTGGAGGCCGAGGTGGAAAGAACACATCAGAACAAAGGGGGTATCCTAGAGGGGGTCCCCCAGAAACCAGAGGTGTGTGGAAGATCTGAAGAGAAGATGGAGATCTGGGCGAGGCCATCCTCTAGGTCAGTGGTCATCACAACTGTGTGTGGGGCTGGGCTGCTATGGGCATCTAGTGGGTGCGGCCAGGGACACCGCTAAAGATCCTATGATGCCCAGGATAGCCGCCCCGCCCCTGGCCCCCACAAAGGATTATCTGGTCCCAAACGTCAACAGTACCAAGGCTCAGAAACCTTGTTCTAGGTGAAAAGTTGTCGATTCCGGTCCCACAGAACGTTGCTCAATGGGCAAAGTTAATTTTTACTATACCTGAGAATCGGGCGGTTGGTACCATTTCAGTGAGGTGAACGGTTTTGCTGAGCAGGGTGTGAGACACCTCAGCGAAAGCTACAACTTGCTGAGGCTTAAGGTGTATGCATACCAGACAGCACCCTGCTCCAGAGCAGAAGGGGGACTCTAACACAGAGTCAGACAGGGACCCGGCAACGGAACACAACCAACCGAGGGCGCCGTGCCCTAACCGTGGGCACAGAGAAATGTCCTTAAGTTTGCCAAAATTCTAATATCCAAAAGCAGACCGCGGACACAGGTGCAGCCCCAGAAACGCGAGGACTCCGACGGAGGAGCATGCCGTTGCAGTGCTGCTCAGGTGACTATTAAAAGCCACATGCCCGGGCTCCGGGATGTGTTTCTGAACGCCACCCACTGATTCCGACACACCGTCCGGTTTGGAGAGCACTGGACTAAGTTAAGAAAAAAAGAGAACTAAGAATGAAACTCTGGAATAGCCAATGCTCAGGGGGCGGGGAGGACGGGGGCAAGCTTCCAGATTAGTCTATTTTTGGCCGAGGCTCCCCTGAGGAAGACACTCTCTCATCACCAACAACCACGAATGGTTTCAGAGGCCTTTGTTCTTGGGTCCAGATGGTTCCTCTGGAGGGGGGACCCTGGCCTGAAATAGAAGACAGAATTTGGAAAGACTTGGCTTCTTCCTGGTGATTCTGGTGTCAGAGGAGATCTGTGCAGGTGAAAACATGTTTAAAAAGCAGCTAGGGGTGGATAATGCTTTATAATGTACCTACTGATCTTCCTGGTTTGTGTTTGGATGTGTATTTCCTTCAGCCTCATGTTTTAAACCATAAATGATGGCAGCTGAAGGAAATCTGGTACTTATGCAATTTTCTACAGGACAGCTTCCTGTTAGTTTTGTAGATTTTCCTTTAAATGTAAACTAGATTGACTTGACTTCTAGAATCTGGTTTTCTGTTTCAGCATATGGAATTATTCTTAGGTTCTATGATTAAAGAAAAAGAAAACTCCTCACAAGTCTTTCTAGGTTCAAAATAGGTGACTTTGGGAATAAAATGGTACTGGTAGCCTCAGGGAGACAACCACTGACAGTTATTTTATTTGTTCACGTGTTCTGTGTTACTAGGTGGTCAGAGTGATGTGCATGTGTTTTAAGGGAGGGGAGAAAGAAGAGGAAAAGTCTTTGATTTTTAGGCTTCTCAGTAGGCGATTCCATATTTTTCCAATCAGCATGTTTCTAAAGAACATTTGCTCTTTCTAGAGCACCACACACAGATGAGCGGAGCCCGATACAAGGAGCAGTAGATGTGGACCTTTACTTCGACTCTGCCATTTCTGGATCGTGCGACCCCAGCGTCCTTCACGTGCCCTCTCACAGAATTGAACATTCCTGCCCGCAATGGTCTTAGGCTACGATGTACCCCCAGGTCTTCCCCGTGTTTCTCACAAGCAGAGGAGGCTCTGCAGTCAGTTTGTGCCGAGGCGGGCTCGTGCCAGCCGCCACTCCCACCATGGGTAACGGCCCACCGCGCCTCCGCCTGCCGCCAGAGCCGTGGGTGAGGCAGCTCCCGAAGGCAAGTGGGATCCCCCCTCTGAAGAGGAGACACACACACCACAGGAGCATCATTCTCTTTTAGACAAAGGAGCCTGACATACTTGCAGGGGAGGATCCGCACCACATCGTTCTGCTTGTAGCTCTCGATGCAGACTGCGCAGTGATCGAAGTCGGGGTCTGTTTCCTGCAAGGCAAGCACAGGCACGAGAGTCATGTGCTCAAACCGAAGCTATACATAAACGGAGGAGGCAATCCAGCTAGGCATCTTCCTGTGGCAAGTACAGTAAGCAAGCGACTACCAAGTGAACAGTTATGAAGAGCTTTGATATGTTTTCATTTGCTTACCTGCATTGACCCAAGTGATATGGAAACCACTCTACCTCGTTTTTAAACTATGCTGTAACAGTACTAATTCTATCTGTGAAAGGTCTTAGAAGTCAGAATTCTTACTTGTTTTTCAAGATTCAAATCCACGGTCACCGTGGACACCCTCCTCCCCCTCCCACCACCGCGGCATCACTGTTCTGGTTCAGTGGGCTTCACAGCAACCCTCCACAGTGTGGGTCGTCCTCTGATCACTCATCTAAGTACAGGCAGAAAAGATGGTGAGCCCCCAAAAGACCAAGCCCCAGTAACGGGAGCTGGTCACAGGTTTGGGGTAGAGAACAGTCATGGCCCAACTCAATACTGGGTCTTTATGAAGAGCCAGGAAGAGTCAGCTAGGTGTTTGGTCATCCAGGTTAACTGGCTTCCTTCCTCGTCTGTGCCGGGAAGGGACTCCCCCGAGTTGTCATAAAATAGAGCATTACCAGGAACCTAAGCCAGGGAAGGGGAGACTATCTGCTGTGTCATGGCCACGTGGACTGAAACTCAGTGGGACAACTCTGGGTAGGTCCAGGAGGCACAAACTTGGAAGAGGTGTTGGTTTGAATAAGGAAAGATTGTTTGGTGTTAGCCTGAAGGACAACGTAGGATGGGTAAAAATTCTGGGGAATTTCCAATTAATGTGGCAGCTGAAGGCCACCAGGCCAAGAGGGTGACCACTTCTCTGGGGCTATAGGACAGCTTTCCTGTGCTTTTATTTTTTCCAAATGTTTTTACTTGTTTCTTTGCTTAGTGTTCACTGAAGTTCGCTGAAAATGTCTCCACCTTCCAGAGCTGTGTCAAGACAGTGGGAATAAAAACGGGTGAAGTCAAGGAAGTGGTGAAACTACAGAGGATGGAGAATTGTCTGAAATTACCCTCCCAGAGCTGCTTGTCAAAATGTGAGAGCTGGATGTGGGGTAGAAAACAGCTTTGGGTTTATGCCTTTAGAGGTGCAACTTTTGCCCTCTACGTAACTAAATATATGGAATGTAGGGTCTAACATCAAGCTGCTGTTTTGTCCTTATGGAGCAGAAGCGGATTCCACGTAATGTGATGCCCGACCGGGGAGCTCTGATGAGCCGTCTCAGCCACAGCCTCAGTCACTGGCTTTCTCACTTGGGCCCCACAGGCCAAGGGCCCAACCCGGACACACTGGGAGCTTCCTTCCAACTGTCTGGCCCACTGGACAGAAAGCACCTTGTGAATGACACTCTCTCGAGACGTGAGTCTCCTGCTCTCTGGCGAACTGGCGAGGGACTAAAACACAAAGGAAGCACAGGGAAGAGAACACATATTCCTGGCCACCGAGTGCACCAACTGACCCATTAGGGTTCTGCCCGAAGGCATCCTTGGCTGCAAGGGAGAAAGCTCTGGAGTGGGACACCACAGCTAAGGGACTGTAAGCAGACCAGTGCAGCCAATAATGGCAGGAGCCCTGGAAGTCCAGGGAAGTCAGAGACTCTAGGGAAGGCCTCCAAATGAGGCATGCTAAGGGTAAGAGTTCAAAGGGAGGCTAGTTTAAAATGAAGCATTAGAGCATATACTTGGAGAAAAAGAATCACCTAACATGAGACACAAATGATTAGGGTGTGTTCTCTCCCACCAAATCAAAAGCAAAACTACTTTATCATTTTTATAGTGTTAAAGTTATTTCACTACTATACCTTATCACCCTTTTTTACTGTTCTGGTGGTCAGTTTGCTGATGGCTTTCTTGGCGGCATCTCCAAGACGACGCTATGACAATTACAAAGAAAAACAGACATTAATGCAAGACCTCTGGATGACATCCTTTATTTTAAAATCATTAAATGTATAAAGCCCCTGTTATCCCACAACATTCTCCACGTTGTACCACAGGAAAGGATTCTAACAAAGTGATTAAAAAATGAGAAAAACTGGCAGTTTTCCCATAGATTCAGCCTTCTGAATTGAATTACTGAATTATTCTGGTTGAATAATTAAAAAGTATATATAGTGAAAAAAAAAAAACCCAACTGGGTGTCATGACCACTGCTGCGTTCCTGTATTTAATAAACCTTTGAAATACTACAGCATTATTGAAATCTACTTCTTGTACCTGTCAGAGCCACAACCACTGCACGAATAGTTCTGGGGACAATCAGAAGGATAAGCTCTGTCTTAGTAAAAGAGACCTCCAGCGCCCCCAAGATTGCTCATCACCGTGCCAAGTGTGGCAGGAGAGAGGCGGTCACAAGCTGTCCTTCCGTCTCTGCCGCTACAATGCTCCGTGAGCTTAGGGAGGTGCATTTATCTTTCCAGGGGTGAGCTGTGTGAAAGGGTTAAGTCACAGAATCTCAAAGACTTGATCCCACATTTTGGCAGACACTGCTAGACACCAAAGACTCACAGGTGAAGAGACAGTGCCCCCAGATCTTGAAAAGCCAACTGAATTGGGAAACAGACCAGTAGACGCATTTTATTTTTAAAAAAGATTTTATTTATTTATTTGAGAGAGAGAGAGCACAGAGGGAGAGTGAGGGGGAAAAGCTGACTCCTGCTGAGCAGGGAGCCCGATGCAGGGCTCGATCCCAGGACCCTGAGATCATGACCTGAGCCGAAGGCAGATGCTTAACGACTGAGCCACCCAGGCGCCCCCAGTAAACACACTGTGACTGAGTGTTGTACAGGAGAGCATGCCTGGGTGGTGTGGCAGCACAGGGCAGGCAACCCAACTCGGGCGGGGGGCTGGGGGGGGACGGGGCAGAGGAGGAACATCAGGAAGGCTTGGGGAGAGGATGTCTGAGCTGAGATGTGGAACACCAGTGGGAAGGAATCCGATCAGGAAAAGCACAGGGGGCAGGAGGGGGACTTCTGGACAAAGGAAATCTATTAAAGATAAATACGTGTGAAGCACAGGACGATGAAGGAAATGATTCGATATTGCTAGGACGAGCATACATTTGATCGTGCAAAACAGAACGTTCTGAGAGTCAGAGGGCCCTATCAGTAATTACACGGGACAGTGGGTGCAAACAGGCACGCTGGGACAGGTGGTCACTCTACACACAAGCAAATCTTGAACTGTGGGAAGAGGCAGATGGTGGGCTGGAGGGGGGACGGTGGGGGCTAAGAGAAGGGGAGACCTTGGATTTTATATCCTGAGGATTAAAAAAAATCATAGAAACATAAAAATTTTAGGGGGAATTTAAAAATATACAAAAGAAAATAAGTCCATGAACCTCTATGTATCTATCCATCATCCACCTTCGATAATCAATATTTTACTAATATTTTCCATTTGTCCCCGCCTCTTTAACTGTGCTAGAGGATTTCAGAGCATATGACAAAGCATTTCACCCATAAAATCGTCACTATGTCTTACAGATAGGGGCTTTCGTTTGCTGCCACTGTCTCATCTAACAAAATTAACAATAGTTAATCAACACTATCAAATACTCAGACTATACTATAATTTCCCCAGTTCTCTCGAAAATGTCTATTATTTAAAAAAGATTTGAGAGTGCGTAAGCTTGCACATGTGCGAGTGGGGGAGGAGCAGAGGGAGAGAGACCCCCCCTGCTGAGTGTGGAGCCCGACCTGATCTCATGACCCTGAGCCGAAATCAAGAGTTGGCTGCTTAACCGACTGAGCCACCCAGGGGCCCCCAGAATGTCTTTTTATACAGTTGGCTTGTTTGACTCAGGACACAAAGTCCAAACATTGCATTTGGTTGCTGTTCCCATCAAGTTTTTCTTAATCTGTGAGAGTCCCCTCTATCATATATGTATCTTTAGCCTGTGGAAATAGAATTGACTTAAACTGCATATATTGGAAGTATACAATTTGATATATATATATATATATATATATATATATATATATATTTAATTTTATTTACTTTTGAGAGAGACAGAATGTCAGAGAGAGAGAATGAGAGGGATGAGGGTCAGAGGGAGGAGCAGACTACCTGCCGAGCAGGGAGCCCGATGCAGAACTCGATTCTGGGACTCCAGGATCATGACCCGAGCCGAAAGCAGTCGCTTCAACCAACTGAGCCACCCAGGTGCCCCTGATATATATATTTTTAAGATTTTATTTATTTGAGAGAGAGAGAGAGTGCGCACAAGCAGGGGGAGCGGCAGAGGCAGAGGGAGAAGGAGACTCCCAGCTGAGCAGGGAGCCCGATGTGGGGCTCGATCCCAACACCCTGGGATCATGACCTGAGCCGAAGGCAGACGCTTAACGACTGAGCCACCCAGGTGTCCGATTTATTTTCTTTATTCCTTGTTGTGCTGGTTAGAACTTGTAGTACAATGTGGAAATAAAAGTCATCAGAGGGCGCCTGGGTGGCTCAGATGGTTAAACGTTTGCCTTCGGCTCAGGTCATGATCCCAGGGTCCTGGGATCGAGTCCCGCATCGGGCTCCCTGCTGGGCGGGGAGCCTGCTTCTCCCTCTGCCTCTCTCTCTCTGTCTCTAATGAATAAATAAATAAAATCTTAAAAAAAAAAAAAAAGTCATCAGAGCACAAATCCTTCTACTGTTTCTAATCTTGAAAAGCCTCTCATCTTCCATCACTTACTGTGACGGTACAGGTTCTAGCTTTCCACTGATGCCCCTCGTCAGTTTAAGGAAGTTACCTTTTATGCCTAGTTTGCAAAAAGTTTTAAAATCAGGAGGAGATGTTGGATTTTGGCAAGTGTTTTTTCCTCCATCTACTGAGATGTACAGTTTTCCTTTTCTTTTGGTATGTTAATATGGTAAATTACATCGATTAATTTCATAGTGTTAGAACAGCCTTGCATTCCTGGGATCAACACCACCTGGTCATGATGAATTATCCTTCTTATATATTGTTGGGTATGATTTGCTAAAATTTTCTTTAGAATTTTTACATTTTTGTTTAAGAGGGATTCTGGTCTATACTTTTCTGTTTTCTAATGTTTTTGTCTAGTTTTGGTATCAGATGTTGCTGGCTTTACAGGATGAAATGGGAGGTATTCCTGCCTTTTCAATTTTCTGGAGTTTGTATGTTTCTTCCTTCAATGTTTGATAGAACCCAAGAGAAACCATCCGCCTTGAGGTTTCTTTTTTTTGAAAGGTTTTAGACTACAAATGCAGTTTTCCTGATAGATACAGGGCTGTTTATCTTTTCTTCTTGAATGCGCTTCGTTCATTAGGGGTCTTTCATGGAATCTGTCCATTTCGTATTAGTTGCCATAGAATTGTTCATAATACTCACTACCCTTATAATCTGTAGTGAAGTCATTGCTGTCATTTTTGATTTTGCTAATTTGTGCCTTCTCTCTTTTCCTCCTGATCAGTTTGGCCAGAGGCTTATCAATTTTATTGATTTTTTCTTAGAGCCCCCATTTTTCTCTTTTCTGGTTCACCGACTGCTGCTCTGATGTTATTATTTCCTTTCTTCTGTTTACTTTGGATTTTATTTGCTCTTCTTCCCCAGTTTCTTAAGGTATAAGCTGATGTACTGATTTCAGAACTTATAGGCACTGCGTTAGTGGAATCTTAAAAATTTTGATATTCTGTGTTTTCATTTTCATTCGGTTCAAATGATTCATTTCCCTTTTATCTTTTATCCCATGCCTTATTTAAAAGTTAGTTTCTAAACTTTTAAGAGTTTTCCCAAGATTTTTGTTATCCATTTCTGATTTTTTATTTTTTTAAGACTTTATTTGTGAGAGAGAGAGAAAGAGCGCACAAGCAGGGGGAGCGGCAGGCAGAGAGGGAGAGGGAGAAGCAGGCTCCCCACTGAGCAGAGAGCCTGACGAAGGGCTCGATCCCAGGACCCTGGGTGCATGACCCAAACCGAAGGCAGACGCTCAACCGACTGATCCGCCCAGGTGCCCCTGATTTCTGATTTAATTCCAAGTGGTCAGAGAACATATTCTGTAGGACTCAAATCCTGTTAAATCCATTGAGACCTGTTTTATGGCTCAGAGTACATGTCAAAAGATTGGATGGAATGTTCTTTAAATGTCAATCAGTTCAAGTTAACTGATGATATGTTTAAATCTTTTACATACTCACTGATTTTCTGTCCACTTACTCCTTTCAATTGTTGAGAAAGGGATACTGAAATCTTGGACTGTAACTGTAGGGCTGTCTACTTCTCTCTGCAGCATCCCCTTAGTTTTCACTTCACATTATTTTGGAGCTTTCTTATTAGGAGCATAAATGTTTAGGTGCCAGGTCTTCTTACCAATCTACCAATTTCTGATTAAGAAGTGACACCCACCAAGTGACTGAGTCACCCAGGAAGTCCCCTGAGAACAAGAACTGTCCTTTCTGTCTTTATGATTTTGACTATGCTAAGAACCTCATGTCAGTGGAGCCATAAGGTATTTGTCTTTCTGTGACTGGTGTATTTCACTTAGCGTATGTCCTCAAGGTCCATCAGTGTTGTAGCGTATTCCAGTTGTCTTCCTTTTCAAGGCTAATGATATTCTATTGTATGCACATGTCACATTCTGCTTATCCATTCATCTGTCGGTGGACACCTGGGTTGCTTCCATGTATCAGCTATTGCGAATAAAACTGCAATCAACGGGGCACAGTTGGTTAAGCGACTGCCTTTGGCTCAGGTCATGATCCTGGAATCCCAGGATCGAGTCCCACATTGGGCTCCCTGCTCGGCGGGGAGTCTGCTTCTCCCTCTGACCCTCCTGCCTCTCATGTGCTCTCTCTCATTCTCTGTCAAATAAATAAATAAAATCTAAAAAAAAAAACAAAAAACAACTGCTATCAACATGGTGTG